CTTAATTTGTATATATCTATCAAAAAAAGGCTTTAAGAAAAGCCTAAAACCCAACAACTAAAAATATCTTAGAGTTTTCTTCATTATTTTGTATATTCTTAACCTTATTCTTTTCTGCATATGTAAATATGTAACACTGCTATGTTATTTTTTAAATTTGTTGTGGTTGTTAAGGGTTTTATATAATATTATCAATTTTTTATTTACATTTCTAGACGCCCACGCTTGTAACTATTGTGATCAATTTTTTAGTTTTATGTGATTTTTCTAGTTGACTTCAAAGTTTATCTCTTCAATTTTGAAATTGAATACGGATTTAACTATAAAATGTCATTTGAAAATTTGACACTACTCAATTTAAATTTATTTAAAATAACTAAAACCCAGTGCTTTTGTTTTGAAAATGCAAAGTTAAGTATATTTTGAAAGGATAAAAAAAAGAAAAAACCACCAAATTCATTTATTTATTATTTTAAATGAGTTAGTTCTATTTTGTTTTTATATTATAAATTGTGAAATATGGGACAAGAATATCTTTTGTTGGTTAATCATAAATAAGTTTATAGTTACTCTAACATATAACGCATTATGAATTAAATTATTTTATTCAAATTATGATAGGATATCAACCCAATAAGATGGGAGTATACACTCCAAATCATTTTGACTTTTATCATATAATTTTATCTATACAATATTATTATTTTTTATTTGAAATGCAAATCCATGCATAGTACGGGTCAAAATGCTAATTCACACATACTCTGTCAACTAATATAAAGGTAAATAATCCAGTAGGAGATGATTATAAACAATTAAATTTTGGTTGGATTTAAGTATCAAGAAATTTTAGAAATTACGTTGTCAATGAGCAAAATTGACAAATAGTTTTTGAATATCTGCATAAATTCAAGCATGATGACTTATTATATGTAACAGTGAGTATGGCCTGTGGTCTATTTCCACAGTTTTGCCAAGATTTTGGTATATTGTATATCGTTCATCATTGTTTTAGTTCTGGCTGAGGATTTCGCGTGCTGACACGTACAGCACAATCCATTATTGTTTCCATGTTGAGGGGCGTTGAATTTCGTGGTTATATTGAATAATTAATTAAGGATGTAAAGTTTTCTCATCTCCTTTATGTTTTTTTATCGGATCAAGTATATATAATTGAAAAGTAGATAACGTTAAAAAAAAATGTTTTTCTTTAGTGAATATTGCCAATGAAGATTTTTTTTCCTTTTAAATTTTTAAGGGAAAAAGAAGGGGATATCACATCAAACAAAAGAGAGGGACAAAAAGGGGTGTTTTGGAGAAATTAATAATGATGTTAGAGTGTGTGAAGTAGAGATATGATACCAAGAGAAAAAAACTCGGATAGAGTTAATTATATGATAGTCGAAGGTTAACAAAATCAAAATTTACAAGTATCGTAATTGTAATGTCAAAACACGACATTTAGACAGAAATTTTGCTACGAACCATCGTTCGAATAATTCCAAACAAGTTAGCACAGTATATGTGTATATACAAATAATGATAAAATAGCTGTGTTGATGATTTTTTTTTTTTTTTGGTCGAAACGATAGATGTCCTGTAACCTAATCTAGCTAGCCTAAAGGGAAGGAGAGGGGGTTCGATGTGAGTACAGACTCTATCGATGAAGGTCGATTAAGACCGCCACAAACCCCTGACCTCCAGCATCACCTTTAACGGTGATGACCACTGGACCAAATGGCCAGTGGCAGCTGTGTTGATGATTTGCTTATGTCAATGTATACCGACGCTAGTCATCCTCTCTGACAAAGCTTTTTGTTGAAGGAAGGAAATAAAACAAAAAAAAAAGAGAAAAATCGGAATTCTATTCTATTCAGATAAAACAAAACAAGTGGAAATAAGACATATTGTTCAAAAAATTCAAACGCGGCGGAGGCTCGACTCGATCTGAGTGCAATTGCATCCTACTGAACCATCAAAGCAATTATTGTCCATATGAAATTGAGAGATTATCAAAAGTATCCCATCCGGTCCAGAAAAAATCAATTACTGGTAAAGACTTTTTTCCAGGCATCCATGTCCATATGTACACGACCCCTCAAGAGACTGTTAAGTTGACTTTTGAGTCATACCTTCAATTTGGCTCTTTCCAGCTTCAACACCAGTCCAAAACACTACTCTTTTCTTTTTGTGCAAGCTAAGACCCGTAAGCAAGCACATGCTTGCATGTGAGAAGACCGGGCTTAGATAAAATCGCTGTCTACGTACGGGATTCATCCTCATATATCCTGCACTCTCTCTACTTGGCACATAGTAGTGTGTGTGTGTCTTGGGTTTTGATATTTTTATTATTTTAAAATTATATCACTTTTATGTTTATCACCAAATTTCAATCCTAATCTCAACAACCTTCAAATAATACGATAATGTTAGACTTTTTTTTATTTTCTTTCTTTATAAAATCTAATTTTCTTTCTTATCTCTTTTTCGTTTTTTAGTATTAACAAGTGTAAAAGAAAAAAATTTTAAAAAAATTATTTTATTTTTATGTTTTTCGATCTCTATAAGGGCAATATTCTAGTCTGGTCTGGTCTTCTTAGAATATAATGGAAGTCTGTTGGCCTACAAACAAAGCTGGTAGGCAAATTAAAAGAGTACAAGTGTATGAATCATGAACAAATGCCAAAACTTTTTAGCTTTTTAGTCTTGTTAGTTGCTCAAAAGACAGACAAAGATTGGTTCATCCTGGGTCTCTATACATATGTTTTTTTTTTAATTAAAAAAATTAATTTATTTCTTTTCATGGCCCCGCAAGCAACGATTACACATACTCTCTTCCCTTATATTTTGCACCAAAAACTGCCGCAAATTTGGCGGACAAAACTTTCACTTTCAAGGAACGACTTAGTCCATCTAATCATAACCTAAAATTCTATTCATGCAATCCAAGATCAATTTGGACACATGCATTCAACTGAAAAAACAGCTTTGATGGAGACTATAATAATATATATCCCAAGAGAACAGCGGCCGAAGCACATTTTTATTTTTTGTCCAAGAAAGAAAAATGGTTAAAGCATCCACTGCGTCTATACATATATATATATATATATATATATATATATATATATATATATATATATATAATCAGGAATTAAATACCTTTAGTTTCTTTTAAACAAAATCAGGGTTAGGTGGCTAATTGAGCTCGCTTAACTATGTGCAAATGCATGCAGCTGAGTAGATGATGGCCATCTCATCTTGTCTAAAGAAAAGATGATCCCTCATCACTGAGGGACTTTGGTCGTAAAATCCAAAAGGGCTCCCTTTAATTAATAACATGCTCATTTTTTTTTGCTTCTTTCAACTCTTAAGTACATGTGGGTAAGCATATATTTTAAGCAGATGAACATGCCAGCATACAGTAGCACTGCTGTTTTTAATTCCATTAGTCTTATATTTTAGGCGCTTTCCCTGAAAGTGACTCTAGAAATTACGACTGATTCATACTGTTAAGAACCTGAAAAGTGCCAACGGAACCTAATCCTATCTAATCACTCTGAAGTAAAAACGAATTACCAAAAGATTTTATTCAAGTAAACGTATCTGATAGATTTTTTTTTTAAAAAAAAACAGTTCATTAAATCCAGAATTATATGTATACCATATATGTGCGTACTGCTAATAAACAAGCACCTTCCATATGTAAAATCCCTCAATATAACTAGAACTTTTTTTTGAAAAAAATAATGATGAATTTAATGAGTAAATCTTGTATATACTGACAGTGTATATACTATCATGCATAGTTGGATGCATGACATATGAAAAAATTTTGAAATTCAAATTTAAATTAAGATGAATTGTTATGCATCTAATGGTGATGGTGTATGCACTGTCAGTATATAAAATATTAATCCAAATTTAACCAAATCCCTTCTTTTTCTCTTAACCTTTTCTCTCACAATGATATTCTGTAAAAATAACTATAACTAATTTCCTACCGAATTAGTTTTAAACTTACTACCAATACAATTATCCATGACCATTGTAGCTATCAAGATAACTGTAATATCATAGAAAAAATAGTAAAAGATCAAAATGTTTTTAAATTGTAAAAAGTTCTATAAAAATAATTTATTTCTACATTGTTACAAATGTGTAGGGTCGAACTTTTCGTTGGGTAGTTATCACTTGCAGGGCTTGTTTCCTAGCCCAAACCAGACTATAGGCCCAATAATTCAACCGAATGTGACTCCCTTCACTTTGGAAATCAATCTTAACTTCAGGCAATTTTCCAAACGAAAAATTGCTATGTTTGGAAAGAAAAATTAGTAGGTTTTCGTAAACACATTTTCAATCACCTTTTTATTTCACATATATTAAATTATTACAGTAATTTTTCTAAAAAAATTTCAGAAAAATACAATCCAAACAAAGCGAAAACTCTTGCCCATATTTTCTCTGAACCCTAGAATGCCCAATATTAGCTACAGCTAGGCCCAATGGTATTAATTCTGATTTCTGTTAAACACGCAGTAACCGCCAAATCGACCAGCCCCATCAAAGATTGGCCCACAATTTAGCTAATTCTGTTTATAATATTGAAATATTAGTCCAAAATTATCTTCCTCTAATATTTAAATTGAAAAAATAAACTTATCCATCCGTAAACATCATCACTTATTAGCGTAAACAAACTATTAGAGTCCCGGAGAAGGTTACATCTGTTTCACCTTCCTAGGCTTCTGAAAGATCGTCTGTTCCCTCCTCTGTCTTCAATCATTCTCTGATCATCAGCAAAAAGGTTATACAATTTAAGATTGATATTTTCTGGGGAATTTCTTGCTTATTTTCATATTTTGAATATCTGTCTTTTCTGATTTTTCGCGTCCTTGTCCTTGAATTATCCGTATATGTACCCTTACAAACCTTATATAACAACCCTTTGCTCTGCCTCTTATGTTTTCCCTCTGCTTTCTCTCGTCTGGGTTTCTATACTTTCTGATCTGGGAGGTTTTGGGTGTTTTTGGCTTCTGAGCTTGCTTTGTTTTGGTCGAGAACTGAATCTTTTGAAAAGGGCTTAACGACTTTCAGGATTAAACTGATTTTTACTGACTGTTACTGTTACTGTTACATTTCTCAGTAGAAAACGAAATAGGACTGTAGGAGTTGGGTAATTGGGTGATGGCTCGATTGATTCTGCCTTGCAAGACTCCAACTTTGTCAAAGACTTGTTTCTTGGGTTTGGTATCCTCTACTCCTGTGATTACTCAATCCCTTTTGGCTCAGTATACTTTTGCTTTTGTTCTTATGACCTTTTTGGGCTCATTTTCAAGGCAATCTGGTAAAAAATGAAGAACTTTGAGCGTAAAAATTTCATTTCTGCATTGCTTTTAAATCGATTTTATTGTTGCCTTATCTAAATTGGGATGTTGCTGTTTTTTTTTTTTTTGCCTTTCAAGTTTCATAACTGTGTGTGTATGTTATTGGCTTTCACAAATTTATTGCCTTTGCAATTCTTGAGCTTTATTCTCGTGGAGTAAATGGATGTGTTGCTTACTCGAAGTAAATCTCCTGCTTTGCATTGCAATTGCTTCTCACAATGTTTCTTTTTGCGTTTTGGAAGTTATATGCATAGATTTGCTGTATCCATCGCGTAATGAACTTCTTTGCTATAACTTATTGCAGTTCCAGGTGACTCGTCGTGTTGCTTGTCGGCATTCTTTCAATGATATCTTAAAGCATAGGTGGATTGTAGGTTTTGAGGTATGTTTGTTTACTTCTGGTTTTTGCTAGCTCTTACACGTATCCTTCACTAAAGTCATGGGAATCTTGATACGAGTTCTCTGATACTCTTAATTTGTGATACACTAGGCTACTCAGCGGAGGAATTATAGGGTTCCATCTTATACGTTATCTGTAAGCAGTTACAGTCTGTATCTGATTTATCCGAACACTAATGATGATAGTTACCTTTTGTGGTCCTCTATATTTAATAATTATGGGCTTTTAATCTCCCTATAGGGTGCTAAGAAATTCAACCAGAGGTTAATTTGCTCAGTCGCAACAGAACCAGTGCCGAAGCAAGTTGAGGAGCCTAGTATGAAAACACCAAAAGAAATTTTCCTCAAAGATTACAAGCAGCCTGACTTCTATTTTGATACGGTAAATTTATAGATTTGTGAAGCCTAGATCATAGATACTCTGAAACTTTGAACTAATGGAATTAATTCTCAGGTGGATTTGAAATTTTCCCTGGGAGAGGAGAAAACAATCGTATCTTCCAAAATAAGTGTCTACCCCAGAGTTGAAGGTAATCATTTTCACTTGTTGGACAACAGCAAATGCATCTGTCTATGGTTGTTTTTTTTTCCCAGAACACAGAAGAATTGGCTTTTTATTTTGGTGGTAAATATATCATGTAGAGCAAAAGCATCTGTTTTCTCAGAGTTCTGTCTGGAATTTTAATTACGAAGCTCTTGTAGATATGGTTTTTGTTGACTGGTGAATTCTATAAGCAGGTGGTTCTTCCCCATTGGTCTTAGACGGACAAGATCTCAAGTTGATTTCAGTAACTATAGATGGCAAGGCTTTGAAGGTCTGCATTGGCATCCAAGACTTTACTGATTGACATGTTTGTTGCTGAAGCTGGCATATTTTGCTGGTTGACAGTTAGTTGTTTTTTCTGTTTATGGAATTTTTGTATGTTTTGAGTGCATTCTCTTTTTGATCCATAAAGTCTGAAACAGATCTCTTAGAATAAGATGAATGTTGGACTTTGAATTGTGTAATAATGTTTTTGAACTTGCTTTCTGATCAAGCAATTAAAGAGTTTCAGGAGGAAGAATATTGCTTGAACCCACGCCACCTGACTCTTGTATCACCTCCCAGTGGCAGATTCACATTGGAAATCGTTACTGAAATACTGCCTCAGAAGAACACTTCCCTTGAGGTCAAAACAATTCTCTCTTATATTACTTTGGTAGAATGGGATTCTGGCATTGCTGTGCATACCTAGTGTATTCTTATGTGCACTTGTCATTCATCTCATCATGTCTGATCCTGGTGATATGTATGTAGGGGCTGTATAAGTCATCTAGTAACTTTTGCACACAATGTGAAGCTGAAGGTTTCCGAAAAATTACATTCTATCAGGTAATGTATTTTTTTAGCATCACTTTAACTTTGCATTTGCTATCTTTCGACACCTACTGATGATTTTGCTCTCTGTTTTAGGATCGTCCTGACATAATGGCAAAGTACACTTGTCGTATTGAAGCTGACAAGTCCTTATACCCTGTTTTGTTGTCTAATGGAAATCTCATTGAGCAAGGAGACCTACAGGTATAGTTCTTCGAATGTGTTTGGATAGAATATTATTTTAAAAGGTTTTCAGAATAATACTGTAACACTTTTGTGATGTAATGTATTTGAGATAAAAAGATGACTGGAAAATGTGTTTATGATGCAACGGAAGCAAATTTTCTACCAAATGGAGTTGTTCGAAGGTTAAGCATCATTGTTGCTGCTGCAGGGGGGCAGGCATTATGCTGTATGGGAGGATCCCTTTAAGAAACCATGTTATCTGTTCGCACTAGTTGCTGGACAGTTGGAGAGCAGAGATGATACTTTTATTACTCGATCAGGGCGTAAGGTCTTACTTAAAATCTGGACCCCAGCACAGGATCTGCCCAAGACAGCCCATGCCATGTATTCTCTGAAAGCTGCTATGAAATGGGATGAAGATGTAAGATTTCCTTTTGGACGGCTTTTCTGATGTTTTCATTTGGCCTAAATGGTTCAAGCTCTACTAACTCTTCCATCTTTGCTTTTTAAAGGTCTTTGGGCTTGAGTATGACCTGGATCTCTTCAATATTGTTGCTGTTCCAGATTTTAACATGTTAGTTGCTCTTCCTTTGATTTTGCAGAATTGTTATTATACATCTGCCTTCAAATTCACTAACAACTTTTTTCGACTTTTACTCTCAGGGGTGCCATGGAAAATAAGAGTTTGAATGTAAGCTTCCTGAAATTTTGCCACTTTTTGAATGGGGGATTCTTTGCTAAAATTTTATGAGTTCTATTTTCTGGAAATGGGCTCTGAAATTTTTTCCCCTGCCCTTGCAGATTTTCAATTCCAAGCTTGTCTTGGCATCTCCGGAAACTGCAAGTGATGGAGACTATGCTGCAATTTTGGGTGTGATTGGGCATGAGGTATTTGATCATTAGTCCTTTGAAGTTGGTAAATTCTTCATAGTTTCAAAGTACTAGACTTCTGATTGGTGTCATCCTTGGTGCAGTATTTTCACAACTGGACAGGCAATAGGTAAGCCTATTCCTCCACATTGCACTTGACAATTTTTTACTGGCTGTTGTATAAGCACTTTTATTCATATTCTTGCATGTCAGGACTTGTTATTTAATTGATTAGGCTTGTACTAAAATTTTATGCAACTTGAACTTAAATTTTCAAAAAACACTAAGAGGGAGGTTCGCTACTATGCTAATTGCAGAGTGACATGTCGTGACTGGTTCCAGCTTAGTTTGAAAGAAGGGCTCACTGTCTTCCGTGATCAGGTTGGTGCATACTTCTTTTTCCTAGAGGCTGTGGTTATCATAAAATTTACTTTTGGCTTAGCTCCTAATCGTGGATGCCAATGGACAGGAATTTTCATCTGATATGGGCAGCCGTACTGTGAAGAGAATAGCTGATGTTTCGAAGCTTCGAATTTATCAATATCCTCAGGTTTATGAAGTTGTCTATGTTGCCTATGACATCAGTTGCAGATCTTAATTTTCTAAATCTTGGCTTAGTTCATGATGAACCATCAATTTGATAGAAGAAAATCATGTTATTCCAAATAGATCATGGTTCAGCTTGTTGTGACTAACTATTATTTGTCATAATCATCTAGGATGCTGGTCCCATGGCTCATCCCGTTCGACCTCACTCTTATATCAAGGTCTTGATTCTCCTCTTTCTTCTGATAGTCACTCTCATGGATAGACTTCTTTCAAAGCTTTTGTATCAATAGTTTCATCTGTCTTTGCTCAGAGTTCTTTTTTCCTCCTTGACAGATGGACAACTTCTATACAGGCAAGCTCTTGGTTCATTGAATTTAGTGAATGATGGCTTCATACATGTTTTAGCAATTTGAACATTGAAACTTGCCTCTGACTTGAATATACAATGTTTTGGCTATCACATCTCCTGATATGGTGGATATGATGGTTGATTTTCAACTTGCAGTAACGGTAAGGCATAGCATTTGCATCGTGTTATTTTTCTTCTCTGCCGTGTGTGAACTTCTGCAACTGATTTTTCATCTGTTCATTTTTGTTTAAATCCTCTGCAGGTGTATGAAAAGGTATCTCTCTCTGTCTCTCTTCTTCTCTCACTCTCTCTCTCCCTTTCTTTCTTCATCTCTCTCTGCTGGATGTTACTTGTCTCGGCTTTGGTTCATTTGCAATCCTGTTGATCAGGGAGCTGAAGTTGTGAGGATGTACAAAACCCTTTTGGGGAAGGAAGGATTTAGAAAAGTAAAGAATGCATTTGAGCTTGACTACCTACATTTAATTAACTTGAGATGCTTACTACAGTTCAACATATGCTTAGAAAATTTGTTACTCTTCACACAGGGAATGGATCTCTATTTCAAGAGGCATGATGGTCAAGCTGTTACTTGTGAAGAATTTTTTGCAGCCATGAGAGATGCAAATGGTGCTGATTTTTCCAACTTTTTGCTGTGGTAAGTTGTGGAGTTGCCTTATCCAAAAATTTAACCAAAAAAATTATCTGCATTTTGTTATGCTTTTGGGTGCTTGAGCCCTTACAAAGAAGAAAAATGCAGGTACTCTCAAGCTGGAACTCCTTCTTTGAAGGTTGCCTCTGCATACAATCCTGAAGCTCGTACTTATTCTTTGAAGTTTAGGTACAACTCCTAGAGTTGCTGGTTTATAGAGTTATAGCCATCAAGTCTTAGTGAAAATTTCTGCAAAATTATCTAACTTGTCATAATAACATGGATGCGTTTTGTATTTTCCAGCCAGGAGGTTCCCCAAACCCCAGGGCAGCCAGTGAAAGAGCCTATGTTTATTCCTGTTGCCATAGGTCTGCTTGATTCAACTGGCAAGGACATAGCTCTGTCTTCTGTGTATCATGATGGAAAGTTGGAGCAACTTGGTAGCAATAGTCAACCAGTCTATACTACCATTCTCAGAGTAACAAAGGTCAGATTGAAATCCTAATGTTGATTCACTTGTGTTCTGAGTCATCTTCTTTGAACTGCCTTATCTTTGTTATGTAAAGATTCAGTTTGAAAGCTCAAATTTACAGGATTCAGTTGGATCTTGTCATTGTGTGGTGGAAATGAGAAATAAAGATGCTTGATTTTCTTGAAGAACATAATATATAAGCCACTTCCATGGACAGCACCAAATTTACTCAAATATAAACTAGGTTCTTAACGTTCATCCTTTTTCGAGAACCAAATTGCCGCTGAATACTGCCATAAAAATTCATATTAGTGCCCATAGTAAAGATGTCTGCTATTTATACAAGAAAAAAATATTTATATTTTTTCTTTATACATAGTAAATATTTTTTTCTTTATACATGTGACACAAATTTTAGATCTGTTTGTGAAGTGTAATACATAAGCCTAACTTGCATAAAGAACTTGCACAAGGAAGATTAATACTTATGCTCATGGCTGAATTTAATTTATTAACCTAGGGCTAGAGAGAACTGTCCATTATCTAGGCATAAATAGTTCAGCTTTTAATGCATTTTAAGATGGTTGAAATAAAAGGTGTTCATGATGTATAGTCTTTGTTCCTACTGAGCAGAAAGAAGAAGAATTCATTTTCAATGATATATCTGAGCGGCCGATTCCATCCTTGTTACGAGGTTTTAGCGCTCCTGTGAGGCTTCACTCTGATCTAACCGATAGTGATCTATTCTTCCTCCTTGCTCATGATTCTGATGAGTTCAACCGGTATGTAGACATGAAACTCATGAGCATTTATTCCAAACCAGTCTATTAGCCGATTAAGTAAAGAATTGAGATACATCTCTAAAAGATATTATGTTTCTGTACATTAGTTGGGAAGCCGGGCAGATCTTGGCTAGGAAGCTTATGCTTAGCCTGGTGGGTGATTTCCAGGAGAGTAAGACCTTGGTTCTGAACCCACAATTTGTACAAGGACTCAGAAGCATACTTTGTGATTCAAGCCTGGACAAGGTGTGGGGTTTGGTGCATCTCCATTCATTTGAAGGAATAATAAATGAGAATGGATTTCATTGTTTTAACTTTTAATGCCCGTAATATTCAGGAGTTTATCTCAAAGGCAATAACCCTGCCTGGAGAGGGAGAGATTATGGACATGATGGAAGTTGCTGACCCAGATGCTGTTCATGCTGTTCGAAATTTCATCAGAAAGGAGCTTGCTTCTGCATTAAAAGAAGAGTTCCTCAACACAGTATGGATTTCTAAGCTAGTCGAAAAGTGTCAAGTCTTTTTTCGATTGCGGTTTTTGATTCATTTCTCATTTGGCTTGGGCTCTTTTTCAGGTGAAAAGTAACTGCAGCTCAGAACCATATGAGTTTAACCATCCCAATATGGCTAGGCGTGCCCTCAAAAATACTGCCCTTGGTGTGTTAGTTAGCCTTTTATTTCCTTTCGTTCCCCATGTTTCATCTGGATTATATTGTTTCCAGAACTTTGTGTAGCTAATCTCATTTGTTTCCTTCTTTGACAGCATATCTTGGGTCTCTTTCTGATCCAGAAGTTACAGAGCTTTTACTAAATGAATATAGGACTGCTACCAATATGACGGAGCAGTTTGCAGCTCTTGTTGCCATTGAACAGAAGCCTGGCGAAATTCGTGATCAAGTTTTGGCTGATTTCTACAACAAATGGCAGCATGACTTTTTGGTATGCCTTCACTGTTTCTTCTTTAATAGGTGTTCTGCTTTTTGTAGGAGTTTCTTCACGTCTCCGATTAAAAATCTTGTTGGTTTCAGCTTTTTAATTGTGCCATGTATCATTTTGGACAAAGGAAGTTTGTATTTTGCATATTATCATGGTGGGGAAATAGGAAATGTGAACGCTAAATTTGGATGAATTATTAAAAGAAGAAATAGCAATGGGTTAATTACTTTACCTCCACTTTACCACCCCCAACCTTAAAAATATAAATTCCCCATGAAGATTAGTCAACTGTGGAATTCTTGACTTTGTCAAAAAACAAAAACTGATATTATGACACCATTACCCTTTTGTTGCTGAAACTGTATTTATTGTTAGTACTGTGTTATTTATCCTTATTGTTTGACTTAAAGTCTAATAAATTGAACAAAATATGTACGAAAATGAACATTGCTTTTGTAGGATAAATTTTAAGGATAATAAATTAAATGTCAACTTTTTCTTGCTTTTATCAATTTGATATTTTTGTATTGTAGATGCTATAGAGAAAATGTTGTCTTTTAGCAATGAAAGGGAAAATGTTATCTTTTAGCAATAAAATGGAAAATTTTATATCATAAATAAAAGGGCAATAATGTCATTGCACTCACAGTTTTTTGCCGGAGTTAAGGTTTCTAACTTTGCTACCTCCAAAGTTCAGGGGCAAAGCGTAATTAACCCAATAACCAATTTAGTTAACCAGTAATATTCTGGTATCCAAGTTAACTGGAGAAATTGGTCTTGCACAGCTGACTCTTACTCTGAGGTAAGGTTTTGAAAGGCGAAATTTGGGATATTGTCCTAAATTGATCTTGTATCTTTGTGATTAAATCACTTCACACTCGCCATGTGATTAATTAAGTTTTTGAGTATTACTACTCTGTAAGAAGAATAGGGAGAATGAAAACCTCTTCAGGTTCTTTGGAAGATTGCTCTAATCTATTTTTCTCCAGGTTGTAAACAAGTGGTTTGCACTTCAAGCCGCATCAGATATTCCTGGGAATGTTGAAAATGTCAAGAAGCTTCTAGCACATCCTGCCTTTGATTTGCGCAATCCAAACAAGGTTTATTACGCTTAATGTCTAATTTCACTTGGTAATTCCCATCATGTTAGTGCTCAGTCTTGATATGTTCTGCAGGTATATTCATTAATTGGAGGGTTTTGTGGATCACGAGTCAACTTCCATGCAAAAGATGGATCAGGGTACAAATTCTTGGGGGAGATCGTAGTGCAGCTTGACAAATTGAATCCTCAGGTTCGTTCATTCAAGAATTTTCTTCAAAACTATACTATATTATGAATTTGGTCATTTTAATCTCATACGAACATTTCCTCGTGAATTGAATTGCAGGTGGCTTCTCGAATGGTGTCAGCCTTCTCAAGGTGGAAGCGTTATGATGAAACTCGGCAAAATCTTGCCAAGGTAACTACACACTCAAATTTGTCTGGACATGATGGCATATGGCATTTTTTACTGTCAGTTACTCAATGCTGCTGCTGCTGCTGAAAATATCCTTTTCTCTGTGAAAAGCGGTTACTTTTTTAATGAAATAGTTAACATCATCATCATCAGCTTTCTTCTTGGCTAGTCAAAGCATTGAGAAAACCCTTGTGGATTCTTGCAGGCACAGCTCGAGATGATCTCGTCCTCCAATGGGCTTTCAGAGAATGTGTATGAGATCGCATCAAAGAGCTTAGCAGCATAAGTTGATCCTGCTTACCAGCCGGGTGGTCGAGATTCCCATAAGAGAGAGCTTGCTTGTTTCACTAAAGACAACTGCCTTAGCATGTCCAGAGAAACCTGTTTCAGAAAGGGGAAAAATAAAAATAAAAATTACAACAGTGAAAATTGTTTACTATACTAAAGTTTAAGTGTTATTTTGCAGATCCAGTTTTAGATTTGTTTTCTTCTTCCACCTTTGGAGTGAAAATTTTCTATGGCAACTAACTCCCTATATCATCAGTTCTTCACATGAAACACAGCTCATCTGGTTGTGTAATGTAATGCGTGGGGCAGACGTCGTGACAAAGGTTCAAAAGCATCAAAGCAAGAACCTTTCTTTCACAGGATTCCTGTGAAATCTTTGCTTAGTCTATTGGTCATGACATTCACAAGTCAAGAATGACTTGCAATAAAAATGCGACCGATCTCGTTCCCCTGTTTCTTTACTTTCTTGGATTTTTAATTTTGTCCCAAGGATCTTGCAGGGAATCTGATGAACATAAATTCTTCATCATGGAGAACGAATTATACGTTCCTATCAAATCAAGGAATTCAAGTAATTTGACAGCAGATATCGATAATTTAATTCAGTCGTAATCTAAAGTTAAGTTGAGATATCAATCAGGAATGCAGAAAGCTGCTCGTACCAATCCAACGCGTCTTTTTCTTCTCCGTTTTCCGTTTGGTCTAGAAGACAGTTTATTGAATGACAGCAAATCCCCCAATTCACCGACTCAAATTCCATCCCGCTGTGGAAGGCTGGAAAGAGATGCAGAATGAAAACGCACCGTACCATACCTTCTGCTTGTGGGTTGGCCCAGTCAACAAAGAGGACTCCTTCTCATCCTTGTTTTGATTGATCTTATTAGTTTATATATCTACATTATATCTCTACACTTTCCACGCCACAAAAAAAAAAAAACCAAAAAAGATAAGAGATTTCTTTATATGGATTGCAATTTTTCTCCAAAAATTTTTTACATGTTTTGTGAATTCATTTTCTGGTCATCTTCTTATCTCACATGCAGTATTAAATCGTTATAATATTTTTTTTTTCTATAAATTCCAGAAAATAGCAATCCGAAAAAATATAGAGCAATTTACCAACCTCCTTGTTTCTTTAGGACATTGATGATTTTGGGTTATTATGTTGCTATTTACATTGGGTTTAACCACACATTATTGAGTTAACCGGACCAGATGATTGATGGCGTTTTCATATTCTTTTTGTTGATCGGATCCCCAAATTTTCAGCTGTCTTTTTAAATCTTTAAATAATTATTGACGTGTACTCGCACAAGGCAGCCGCAGAATCTTGTCTATATCAGATCCAATCCATTAGATCTGGGATAAGTACGTCAGACACACGGCCAACTTTTCCGTTTTATCATTTGCTTCACCGTATCTTTTCCGTCATTATTACCTCAAGGCCACCGCAGGCGTAGTTGACAAAAAGGCCTAAACCTAAACCTATTGATTCTCTTTAGTTTTGATAACATAATTACTTCTTGACAACGGGATTTGATTTGATTCGAGCCGTTAATTGTACCTTCTAATTAATTACTTTTGTAATCGCAATAGATAACTCACCTTTTGATTTTGGAAATATATATATATTTTTAGAAATATCGTGATTTAGAATTTTTTGTATAGATAGATTAAAATAAATAAAGACACATATAGCTAGCTCGTACTATAGAGCCTACCAGACGGGGGTAAATAATGTGCACCGAAAAAGTCTTATGTTTTTCTAAATATGCACTTGGACCATCATATGTTTCGGTGGACCCAAACGTCGGAGTTGCTGCTTTATTCACTTTCCCTCGTACTAGTAGTATCATTAGCCTTTTTAACTTCATGTGAAAGTTTAATCATAGAGCAAATCTTTATTAGACCTGGTATGGACTGCGGGACTGAAGTGAAAAACATGCGTTAAAGTGCAAAAGATAGAAAAGTTTACCGCAATAGCTTAGAAAAAAGGTCCCTTTTTTTCATAAAAGACACAACGGAATATATGTTTCTCTCTCATTTCTTTCTGTCCAATGACACGAACGGATATGTTATTATGGACGAGGGGCCTGGACGGTTGTCTGACAACCGTCCCAGGCAGTTCACGGTCTGGATGAGCCTTCAAAAATTTGTGCGGCTCAAATCACGTCTTGTAACTCGATTTTCACGCCGTGTGGGACCCACAAAAATGTTGTTCTATTGTTATTCGCTGTTGTTCTATTGTTACACCTTGTACAGATGATGTTACACCATGTACAAATGGTGTTACACCTTCCGGAGCGGTTGTCAGAACAACCGCTCCAGCCCTGCGTCCTGTTATTATAGTGATTTCGGTCGTAAGCAAATCCATGAAGTTATCCAACACCGCTCTGTTTTATCGTGCGAGTTTAGCGCTGGAGTGCAGTTAAAAGATGGCAAAAACACACTTTTTGAGGCTTAATTTTCACAATTACCAGTCCAAAGGCCGGTGGCCACCACCAATGTATTAAAGTTTGGTGGGGTAGGAGGCGAGTTTAGCATTGGAGTGCAGTTGAAGATGGCAAAAACACACTTTTTGAGGCTTAATTTTCACAATCACCCGCCTTTGGGTTGGTGAGGAACCACCAATGCATTAAAACTTGGTGGGGTGAGAGACAAGGTTTAAACCTAACCTTGCCTCCCACCAATTTGCCACAATTTAAATGTGACCTTGTTTAAAAAAATCCAGACAGGTGCGTAGTGCACCAGTCTAGTCCGGTGGTGGTTCAATCCTCTCCGAATTACCCCAAAACCTCTTCAGGCCCTCCCCCTCTCCATAGTATAGGATGCTATCGTATCGATAAAAAACAAAAGAGGCTTAATTGTCACATAAATTTTATTAAGTGGGACTTTCGTGAAAGTTTACAAAATTCACAGTTACGTTTTATGAATTTTTATCGTAACTAATGCAAAATAGGTTTAGGTTATTACAATTTTAATGTTTTGGAATTGTAAAGTCTATTATGCAACAGGTTGCCACGTGTTAACAAGTTTAAGATAGTATATGAGCTACAATATGCCCCTAATGTGTTATTGTATGAGACACTCGGTTTGTTTGGATTGTGTTTTATTTCTCCAATTTTATCTACTTACATCATCATTACAATTTCCAATACACCTTTTTATCTTTTCAATTACCTTTTTATCTCACACACATCACATCACAAAAAGTGCTACAGTAAAAATATTCCAAATAAAACACAATCCAAACAATCCAATTATGAAAGAAAATTCAAACAAACCTTATAATCATATCAAAAAAAATCTTTTAAATAGTTTTTGTCCTGCGACAACAATAGAAAGAAAAGTCACGTATTTTAGACTTTTAGTACAATAAAAGCACAATATAGTGCACATTTGTACTAATAGTCTAATAAAGTTGATATTTCAGGAATTAGTCTAATAAAGTCTCTTGTTAGGATAGAAATTTTAAAAAAGTTTTTTTTAAAAAAAAAAGTTTTAAATCTCCATGTTTTAAATCTTACCACTCTCTTGTTAGGATAGAAATTTTAAAAAAGTTTTTTTCCAATCTCATAATAAAATTAGAGTAAATCTTATATACATTGACGGTGTATACACTATTATGATTGGATATAAGGCACATATATAAAATTTAAAATTTAAATTATGTATCATACATCTAATGATAAAAATGTACATAGTGTCAATGTATAGAAGATTAATCCATAAAATCAATACCATGAAATTTAGCAAAGAAAAAAAAAAGTAGTAATGATGAAAATCCGCTACTTTTCTAAGTAGAAAAAGAACAAAACAGAAAGCCAGAGAAATGGGGGTGAATATTGGAAGGAGAGCCAACCGTGCAAGTTAGTTTAAAGTGGCGGGTAAAGGGGGAGAATTTTCCGGGTGGGTCCCCAGAGAAAAAAAAATTAAAGGGGGCCAGGGTGGGAATTAGACTAGAGCACGAAACCCATTTCGAAGTGGATGCCCACACGTGCGCTTGCATTTGACAAAGCAACCTGCGAAGCTTTCTCGGTAAAAGGCCCGCAGCCCGCATCTACTACTAAACTAATAGAGTAGTAATTACTACTTATTACTTTTACTGCCAATAAACAAATGCTTTTGTAATGGTCCACAAATTATGCCCATGGACCAAACTACCCCTTCTTCATCCACCTCTTTCTTCTTTTTATAGATTATCAAAAAATATATCCCAAATCTCTGAAAAATGGGTCCTAACCCACTTCAATCTTTTTCCTTGAGCATGAGATTAATTGGCAAGTTTATCTTGTTTGTCTAGTATTATGGTCCGAGAAAAACATGGCGAAAAAATGACAAGGGCAAAAAATGGTTAGGTTAGGTGAGCAACAAGTAAATTAAATTATGATTATATTTTTTCAAAAATTGGTAAAATTTAAGAGTTGTACGTCATCACATTTATAGGGATTATCGTGCAAAACTGTCTAACTCTTCATGGAATAGGATGATAATTATTCTGATCTATCAAATTAGTCGAGTAGTTAGTAAACTCAATAATTAATTTAGAGTTTTTTTGCACCCAAATAACAACAACATTTACTCAATTTTCTAAAACTAGGAAGTTTGGCAAATTTACAATGTCTATGAAATCAAGATTTACCATTTTACCTCTAGTATAATTTATTTGGATTTACCATTTCAAATTCAACCAAACACCCTTTCCATACTTGTCACATGAATTTACACACACAAAGTAATGTACTCCAATCCCAATAAATTCATATGCCTAAATCCTCATGTATTGCAATAAAAGAGAAAATCCAATTTGGTGTGACTGTGTGAACCTTGAAACCAAAATGGCAAAGCCATTGAATGCCTCGTGTAAAATTCAGGTGCACCCCATTAAAACCCCAGCATCCAGCATTCCCTGCCTCTAAGGCCATTCTCGTCATTTCAGCTCCTCCCCTCAATTAAAAAATTAACCCCCCCATTAAAAGGACATACCTAGGCCCCCTCCAACAATAACAAAAGCATAATTACGAAGAAATCAATTACCAAGTCATTGCCGTGTTTGACCTCCAGAGCTTCGTCAGTTACAATCCATACACACACAGAAGTGTACGTATAGGTAGAAAGAGAAACACAAAATATTTAATTGCATAAATATGTATATGTATATGTGATCTGTTGCATTCTTCTGCTATCATCAATTTATGGCTGTTTAATCTTGTCTAGTTTTTTGAAAATTTCCCATCTTTTTATGTATTTTTAATATTTGGAGAGAACGTTCGATTAGATTTGATCAGTGAATTTGAGCTGATATTTCTTCTGACTAAATTGGGGTGAAGAAATGCGACGAGTGAACGGAATAGGAGGCGAGAGGAGGGCCGGAGGAGTTAATAATACTCTCGAGACAATAAACGCAGCTGCAAATGCGATCGCGGCGGCGGAGAATCGTGTGCCTCAAGTTGGTGTTCAGGTAAACTGAAAAGAAAGCAAAGTTTTATTTCTTTTGGTTTCAGTGTTTTGATATTTTATTGGATACTGTGTCATTCTGTGGTTGAATATTAGTTAATGGAGCTTTTTTTTTTTTTTTGGTTGTTCGTTGATGGTTTAGAGTTAAGATCTAGTGATTAAGAGGTTTAATTTTGAATTTTAGTGAATGATTGAATTTTGAGTATTATTTTTGTGAATCTTTGATTGATATTTTATATCTGATTTAAAGTTGATTCTGCTTTTTATTCAGCTTCATGCTTAAATGTCTCAGTATTTTCTGATAGCCAATTTCATGTTTGAATTTTGGATGTGGAAATTTTACTCGTAGCGAACAGTTTTTCTGAGTTTGATATGTAAAAAACTGAAGCTTTTTTGTGTGGTTGACAGCGATTTATTATAATTGTTGGAGAAAGTTAATAACATGTTCTGTTTTTGCTGGAAAATTTCAGTTCTGATGCTATTTCTAAGAGTAGTTATATACTATAATGCCTTACATCAACTGATTTTGAGGTAATAATGCTTTAATATTCCACAAGTCCAGTATTTTGGGAGCCAATTCGTTCTTGAGTTTCTAAGAGCTTAGAAGGAATTTTGATCAGTTTGGTGTCTTCCGGATATTGAGGGAATGAGAAGATATGGGAATCGAGTGGATTATCCTGTCGGTAAGTGAAAGTGAGGTAGATTGTGTAATCTTAACTTATGGCTTTTGACTTTAGAAGTTAACTGTATAAACTTACCATTACCGAACACTAGTTAGATATTGTTTACTCTGCTGTGGAGAAACAAACTTCTAAATTGATAAATTCGTGTTGTTGTTATGGTTGTTTTATTGCACTTTATGGCGTTTAGTGTCAGCGTAGAATTTACTATAGCTTTTTAAATTTCCTCCCTGTTGAATTGGAGTTCTTGACTTGGATTTACCAACTGAATGTGAAAGACTCTGCAACTAACAAAGGTTAGCTTTGAAGTAGAAGAGCATTGCTGTCCACCCTGCAGCTGTACTTGTCAGAGAAGTTAAAAGGCTTAACTTTTTGCTGATCTTTTTGTCACCTACTTGTTTTGCCAACTTCACAAATTAATTATTTTGCTTTATTTCACGATATATTTTCTGTTGCGTCATCAAGTGTACGTGTGATTGTGCGTTCTGTAGGCATTAGAGGAGTTACGACAGTTGTTCTATCTGTGGGAAAAGAGACAAAGCAACCCACCTGAGAGAAAAATGTATAGTTGCTTGTATATACAGCAGAGGTATATTGGGACAGTTAAGAGACTATAAGAATGAAGTGAACTTTTTCTTGGGAAACGTGACTAATCTATGTTAAGACTGATGGTTTAGGAATGGTGAAGAACGCATTCCGCGTGAGTGATATTTTGAGAGTCATGACGTGGAAAATGACGTTGGGTATTTGAGGGATGCTAATCTCTGATGGGACAGTAAGTACTAGGTTTGCATGTGGTGGTGCTTGGCTGGGAATTTCACTTCGATGCTCCAAAACTATAACTGAATGACCGAGAAGACCAGAGGAGGTACAATCTTGGCTCTCCAGTCTCAATCCAGTAGGATGATGTTTGATGACTGTATGTTATGAGATAGTACGATAGATCCTCAGTGGATTGTATCGATGAATCCTTATTGATTGATGGTTTAAACATGCCCTTGGCTTTGCCATTATGCCCTTATGATGCTTCTCATGTATAGCAGGAGGAGAGAACCATTGCGCTTGGCTGTGCCATATTGTCAGCCATGTGTAGATATTAACTCCTGTTGGAGAGGAAGAAAAGAGGCGTACGAATTGTGTTCTAGTGCATGGTGTCAACGGTGAGAGGAAGAAAAGAGGCGTACAAATTGTGTTCTAGTGCACGGTCATTAATTGCAATCCCTTTCTTGGCAGTAACTATAATTAGAATTTAAACTTTGGGGTCAATGGGGCCTTCAAGCATCCCGATTGCCTTTACTCCTGCTGAGACAAAATCTTGTATTTGACTAATTTGATGAATTTTTAATTTGTGCAAATTAGTGCATTGTGTGGGATCTCTTTTCTTTCCATTTATGGGCATATTTTGAGGTATATTTTGAATGTAGACATAGTCAAGTGGTGCTATAAAGTTGTTCTGATGAGCATTTTCCCTATAAAACTTTAGCTGGATAATGCACGTTATTCTAAAATGGTAGCATTTGGGTTATATGGGATTGACGTCCATCCATCTGAACGTGCAGACTTATGTGCTATTGAGAGCATCAATTCAGTGTGGCAGCAATAGCACATGGACTTAGTAGAATAATTAATAATTAAGTGTGAAGAATTGTCTATAGCAAGTAGCAACCTGATTTTGTGATTGTTGCCAACTCCGGCAATATTTGACTAAGAGTGCCAGTTAGGGATGGATTTTGATTATTAAAGTTGATTGTTCGCTCTCATGTTTGGGGATATTCTTGACAATTGCGTCATCTTCTTTTGTTGATGGCCTTGAAAATTGTTGCTACTGTGACTGTTTGATTTTAGAATTTGAAGCAAAAATTAGACTGCTCTTGATGTTCCATTTTGCCAAGTTGATTTTTTCAATTGTTGTTTCAGTGAGTATTATTTTTCACTTTATTATGGATAGAGGTTCTTTGTTGAACATTGCCTCACCACCCTATTTAGCTAGCAACATGAAAATTAAAGTGTCTGCTAAATTGTTGATATCAGATTTTCACATGAAAAAAAAAACATAGTTCCTTTCACTTGCTTTTTTGGGTCTAGCAAAGGACCTCCTAAGGCTTGTGGGGTGGAAAGGAACTATGTTTTTCCCAGAGAAGAAGCTGGTGGATTACAGGACCTCCTGGGCAGTTTTGATGTAGCTTCAGATTTTTGATCATTCAGTTCCTTGGAACAAATTTTGAGTTCAAATTTGTTTGTCATTATTAAGTTTTTATTGCCCATTCCGCCTTTTCTCATTGCGCCCTTTAGATTAGTCTACAATACTACAGGGTTTTAGATTTATTTGGCCCAAAATTTGAGTGCGAAACATTGGTATTTGTATCTATTCGTTTTTGTGCCTGAGTCCCCAGAATCTCATTTGATGGTTATTGCTGAATATTGAATTTTTTTTCAGTTAGCTGTTTGATTCTGTGCCTGGGTCTCCTGGACCAAGTTTGATGGTTAATTACTGAATATTCAATTTGTTTCACTTTACAAAATCCTATTTCTGTGTCAAATTCAGAATTGCGCATTTTTCTTTGGGTACATGCAAAAGACATTTTATTACGCTTTGGGCAAAAATTACTATTATATCATTGCAATCTCCTGTCATGTGCAGAAAAGAAGATGGGCTAGCTGCTGGAGCTTATATTGGTGTTTTGGATCTCATAAACACACCACGCGCATTGGACACGCTGTTCTTGTTCCTGAACCTATAGCTCCAAGGGCCGATCCTCCTACGGTTGAAAATCAAACTCAAGCACCTTCTGTGGCACTCCCTTTCATCGCACCTCCCTCCTCTCCTGCTTCTTTCCTTCAGTCAGAACCTCCATCTGCAACTCAATCACCACCTGGCCTACTGTCCCTCACATCTATGTCTGCAAGCATGTATTCCCCTGGTGGGCCTGCCTCAATGTTTGCTATTGGCCCCTACGCCCATGAGACACAATTAGTTACTCCCCCTGTTTTCTCAACCTTTACAACCGAACCATCTACTGCTTCCTTTACTCCACCACCAGAGTCTGTCCAAATGACTACTCCATCTTCACCTGAGGTGCCATTTGCTCGGCTACTTGACCCAATAGACCAAAATTGTGAAGATGGTCAGAGATATCCTTTGCCTCAATATGAATTTCAATCGTATCAGCTTCAACCTGGAAGCCCTGTCAGCCATCTAATCTCGCCCAGCTCAGGCATCTCTGGTTCAGGTACTTCATCTCCTTTCCCTGATGGTGAGTTTGTTTATGGACGGCCCCACTTCCTAGAGTTCAGAAGTGGTGATCCTCCCAAGCTTTTGAACCTTGAAAAGATTGCACCTCATGAATGGGGTTCTCGGCAAGGATCTGGTACTATAACGCCCGATACTGTGGCACCTAGATATCGCAATGGGTTTCTTCTGGATAATCAGAAATCTGATGCTTCTACAGTTTCAAATTCATATAACGTCACGAGAGTTGATGAAACTGCTGTTGATCACCGAGTTTCCTTTGAGATAACTGCAGAAGAAGTTGTTAGATGTGTTGAAAAGACGCCAGCAGTCTTTCCCAAGGCCGTATTAGCAACTACTCCATCGAATACTGAATGTGTGGTTAAAACAGAGGATAATCCAAAGGAAATGGCAAATGGACATGAAGGCTGTGCTGGCGAAGCCTCAAGAATTGGTTCTGGTAGAGCTTCTGTAGATGGCGATGGTGGCCAGTGGCATCAGAAGCAGCGAACAATAACCCTTGGCTCTGCAAAAGAATTCAACTTTGACAGTGTTGATGAAGGGAATTCTGATACACCTAATATTGGATCTGACTGGTGGGCCAATGAGAAAGTTATGGGGAAGGATGGTGTGGCAGGCAAAAGCTGGACTTTTTTCCCAGTGATGCAGCCAGGAGTCAGCTAATGGCTGCATTGGGTTTTACACCTGTGCAACAAGCTTGTTGCCTGGCTTGATTCTCTGAAGTCTGAACCCAGCCAGCAAGGAGCAGAACAAATGGTTGAGCTTTACAAGGTTCTGATGTTGATGATACATGGCAGCACTGACCAAAAAATGGAGGCTGTTTTTTGCACATTTCTGACCGTAGAAACGAGTGAAGGTGAGGTAATATTAAGATTTAGTGAGGATTGCATCTCCTTATCCTCTACCTAAAGCAGATTCATAATAGTAATTAACATGATCTAGATATTTGGCTTTTCCTTTTTGATATGTAATATAATAAGCTATGGATGGAACAGTTGTTTTAATGCAGCCCATGATGATGACGACATAACAGCTTCAGTTTAATCTTGTGTTTCTCTCTTCGTTTGGCGTAGTGTTCTAATCTTATTTCATCTGGAAACTTTGGAGGATACTACTGTGCTTACCTGAATATGTTCGTCAAGCTCCATATCCTGTCAGGTTTTGACTTCAGTTTTGTTAGCGTCCAATACATGGTTGCATAAACTGCGTGAGTTGCAACGGACCCTGCACTAAATTGCAACGTCACTCCAGTTTCATGTTTCATTTTATTTGCAGAATGGAAGTGAGGCTGCCAATTCTTGTCCTAGCGCATCAGTTACTGAAGCAGTCTCGATGGATAATCATTGAGTTCCTCAGTTGCCTGGACTTGTGCCGACATTAGGTGAGTTGCTTGGTTCCAAGCGCTCATGCCAACTGTTTGGACTCTTGGGGTTTGTATTTTACCCTGAATAACATCATCGACCCTAGAATTAATTGGCTCGTCACGTTGCAAGATCCAAATTTTAAATCATATTATAGTTGATGCAATTTGACACTGTCAATTTTCTTTTGTTTGGGTGTCAACAAGTTGACAATCATGTTCTCTTTGTAAATCAATCTTACTGTGCTTGACCATATACGAGAGATGAGTTAAAGCCGGCACCATGGCGATGCCTCACCATGGCCGGCATTTGTGAACTGTTGACAGTAATATTTGCAAGGGCAGACACAAAATTGGCTCCGGACAATTAAGTAGCAAGAGTGTGCGACTTTAGTGCAATTATGCTCTAAGAAGCCAGTGTAGGTGTAAAGTCTGTAAATTTTCTTTTGTGGGAAAGAGACATATATAGAAAGGTTAAAAATTTACACCTTGTACAGAACTGACAGATAAAAATGTCTCGCATATCCAGTACAAGCCGTCTCATGACTGTCAAGGAAAGCTCGGACCGATATGAATTCCGGTTTAAATGACAAGAAATTTCACTCTTCTTGAAATAATCTGGGCAGAACCAAACAGGGCTTTCTGTATGTGGGGATTCAAAACGAAGCCAAATAAAATAATTTGTTCAAGTGCAAAATAGCTATTCGCAGTCGCAATTGACTCTCACAAACTCATTGACTGATTTAGAGAAAAGAAAAAAAGAAATGGAAATATGTAATTGAAGGAGAAACTGGAACGTGGTGACTGGGTAGAATGATAATAAATTAAATATCCTCAATCCCAAGATTCTATTACTTGCCCATATACTCTAAGAGGATAAGTCTTCAAACATACTAATATAGAATTTCTCAACATATTTTTGCAGCTCTTGTTTGTATTCACAAACTAAAATTGAGATTGACTTTGCCTATTTAGACGATCATGCTCTTGACCTCTCATATTTGTTTGTTTGTTGGGAGCAGAATTTTACAACATGTGAATTATATAACAAAAAAAAATGAGAAAAAAATAATATGCTTTCATTATTATGTTTCGTAGATGGACCAGATTCAGGTGGTACCTTCAATTTTTCGTTCTCAATAGCTTTTTCTTTTGCTCCTTTAGAAGGTTCTAACCACTAACGCACTCTGACAAATAGATATCAGAGTACTTTTCCATTCAAACTTCAAAGTCTTGCGGAACCAGAGGTATGGTCCATCCTGGACTGCTATGACCAGCATTCTATATTTCTACGGTCAAATATTCAATTTCTCCCCTTTCCTCGACTTTCTTGACAACCATCACCTATTTGACCCTCTAGAATGGTAGACCGCTGCAACCCCTACAAAAATCAACACCTGCCTGTTCTTCGGCCGTCCATCATCAATCTCTGTCCAACCTCTTTACATCTCGCTATACTGGTTCCGCCCCTCTTTCTTCTGCAGTGCCTCTTTGCTAAACTATCGAGCATAATAATCGAAGCTTGGAGAAAGCAGTTATTCTTCAATTGCTTTTACAAAGATTTTTTCCTCCTTATTCCATTTTTCTTGAGAATTTTTGCTTTTCCCGTCATTCAATCATCTCTAATTGTCCCAAGATTGAGTCTTTTTGCAGATTCGGGTTGAGAGTTTTCAAGTTTTGTTGTTAATCTTCCTTGAATTTGAGATTTCTTGAAACTTCTGTAGAAGAAAGTATAACTCAGAGGGTGGAAGCTCCAAAAATGCCGCCTTTTGCAGGACCCAAGCCTCATTTGGATGGCTTCTACCAGAACTCCAGAGATTCAATCTCTAATGTGATCACAATTGATGTGGGTGGTCAGATTTTCCAAACCACACGACAAACCCTAGCTTTAGCTGGTTCCAAATCTCTTTTCTCCAAATTGTCCAATTCGCAGGGTACAATCCCTTTTATTGACAGAGATCCAGAGCTTTTCTCTATTCTCCTTTCCCTTCTAAGAACCGGAAATCTTCCATCAAAAGCTAAAGCCTTTGATGTTCAAGACCTAATCTTTGAGTCCAGATTCTACGGTATTGAGAATCTTCTCATCAATTCTCAATCAAATCCTTCTCTGTTTGAAGCCTTTAATGTTGATAAATCCACGATTTTACCCTTGAGTGGCAGGGACTCGCCTTCAACTATCTCAACAACCCAATTTGGATCAGTTCATGTGGCAAATGGTTGTAAAATCACTTCTTTTGATTGGTCATTGCAGAGAAAATCAACCATTTTGACTCAATTTACAGCCATCGATTCGCTATTGGCATTGTCCCCCAAAACAGTAGCGGCGGGTGCCACGGACTTTTCAGGGTTGCAGATCATTGACCTTGATAAGGGTATTGTGAAGGAAACTTTGAACTGGGAAAATGTGACAAGGTCTTCTTCGACTGTGCAGGCAATTGGTTCATCACCGGAATACTTATTTACAAGTTTCGAGTCTGGTAGGAGAAATTCCAATTGCGTTATGGTTTATGATATTAACGATGGTTTTAGGCCTGTTACCACCATTGGTCATTATGAAATTTTTGGTGCTGAGCTGGATTCTGCTATTCCAGCAACAAAGCTGCAATGGATTTCTAGTCATAATTTGCTGATGGCTTCTGGCTCCCACAGTGGTCCTGCTGGTGTGGTAGGGAATATTAGGTTTTGGGATATGAGGTCTGGAAATGTTGTTTGGGAAGTCAAGGAAAAGGTTGATTGCTTTTCTGATGTCACAGCGTCAGATAATCTCTCAGCCCTGTTTAAGGTTGGTGTGAATTCTGGTGAAGTTTTCTTCACTGATTTCAGGAGTATTGGCGCTGCTGAGGATTCATGGGTTTGTCTAGGAGATGTGAGAAAGGTGATCAATGGAAAGAAGGAAGGTTCAGGGTGTAAAATTGAAAGCCATGGAAATCAAGTGTTCTGTAGCAAAGGAGGAAACATTGAGCTGTGGTCTGAAGTTCTGACTGGTTCTTCTATAAAGGGTGAAAATGGAAGAGTAGAGGACAGAGTCTTTAGGAAGAACTCCATGGGAAGAGCAAAAGATATGGGTGGTAGCAGGATAACAAACTTGGCTTTCGGGGGTAACAAAATGTTCGTCACCAGGAAGGACCAGCAATTTGTTGAGGTTTGGCAGAGTTCGGTTAGGGGATTTTAGTATCAAATGTAAAATAGTTCTTACTTAGCATATTCGTTTGTAAATACTGTTTGCACTTAATTAAGCCCTGTATTTACAAGTTGATGTATCTGAAATTATGTCAATACAGCAGCTGTGATTCCTTCTCTGTTGTACCTCTATGGACACTGCATTGTTGGTCATTACTTTGCTGCTTCTTTCAGATGCCATTGGACTGTGTTCCTTTAGGACAAAAAGTCTTATGTTTATCCTCCGGAAATAAGACTATCTATTGCAGATTTTAAATCAACAACTTCTTTGCGTTGTTTATCAGTAGTATATCTAAGGTTAAAGTTTTTGATATTCATCTTCTGCAAATCCATAACATTTTTCTTTCCTTTTTTTTTTTTTTTTGTGTGTTTCAAATAAAAAGGAATTAAGGGACTGGATTTGAAAGTCGAATCAGAAATTTACGATCACTTGAGTAACAGTAACGTGAAGCTGGGTTGGGGACTAATTCCGTAGCATGTGTCATAAGACTCATAACAACATTGGAAGCATTTAGCGATGAATTTGTCTGCATCACATATCCATTGTTGTCCATTACAGACCAGCATGTTGTTTGGTACTTGACCCAATCAAAGTGTCTGCTGATTCCTTTGTTTTTTTGGGTCCTAATGCATACGCAATTTTGTTTCTTATGAAAGTAGACTCTTAATTTTCTTTCGTGGAAACGTGCGGTTTAAAAGTCAAGACCTTTCAGAAACCAATTAGCAGTTTACAAGTTTTGTTGGCAAAACGTCATATTGATCATATGTTTGACAAAAGTTGGAGGTGATCAATTATTTATTTAATAATAAGCACGAATTCAGCGTTTATCGAGACTCCATGTTCGTCTTTGAATTCAAAAACATCATTGTTCACACGCCAATCAGCTCCCCAAAGTCTAATTAAATAAAGAGACGTGACTCATTCATTATGTACATCTGTGTCTTTAAACTCGGATCGGACTGCCGGTCGAATCGAAAATCGGCTAAGTGTTCGGTTCGAGTTATTCAAAAAAACCGTATGAGTAAAAACTCGATCAAAAATCGAGCTTAAGAGGAAAAAATTGAAAGAACGGTTCAGTCAAAACCTTTTTCAATATTATGTTTTGACCCCTAAGTTGTTAAAAATTATTAATATACCTCAAATATTTCATACTTTATAAATGTTATCCTAAGTTTTGATGTTATTTTTCAATCAAGTCCATAATTTTAATTCTAAACTTGTTAATGTTCATTAAATAATATAAATTGCTACTTAATCGTTCTAATTTCTTTGTATTTCTTGTTAAATATATTTGAAACATAAAATATATATGAATATACCTTTATTAATATTAACATGCTCTTAGGTATTTTACATACAATATTTTAATTTTTAAATAATTTTTATTTATGACATCATCCGATTCAACCCTGATCGAATCCGGTCGAACCTATTAATCCCTGATTCCTGAGCTCGACTGAGTCGATACCCGGTCCGAGTCTGAAACATAGATATACAGCAGTATGATGCAGTAGCGTCTTTCGAAAGGGGGAAATCTGCAATTGGCAAGTGATATATGGGCTAGGCTAAAGTATACCAAACAAGAGTACATGTATCTCTTTTTTTTGGGTGGACCCTCCTCATGAATAACCAGTGTGCATTCTAATGGACAAAATTCAGAAGCCACTCGCTCATTTGGGTGTCTTAAAAAAATTTGCTCATTGCCGTCAAATTCCAGATCATACACTCTCAGAGAACCTATTGATTTCTACAAAAGGTTGATCAGATGAATCGTGGGCTCAGCCCAGCACCAAATCTGAGGACTTGCTAACTTCTTTGAGTAAATGCTTGGACAATGGTCGATGGACAGATGTGATGCAAACAGAAAGCTCAACATCCATCCCAGATAGGTCTGCCCCGCCCCCAAGAACAAAAATTTTTGTTCCTTTGGCAACAAGTCTACCAAGCCACGTTATGGTATGCCGGCCCCTTTTGTTTTGTGATTGATAGCTAAGGGAGGCAGGCTGTGCCACGAACAGCCCTTGCCCACCGCTGTTTGATCTGAATTTTGTTTTCTGAAATACGTTTGCCATTTCAATTACATAAATTCATGTAAGTTGAGTCAATGAAGACTATGGAAATTGGAACTTATAGAGAGATTATCTAGTCTACTGTTTTATATCTAATCTAAATATATAAAAGAGAGAGTTGGAGAATGAACAGTAACTTTTTGGTC